GACCAAGACTAGACCCCCTTCGGGACAACGCCTCTGGCTGCTGAGGATGCCTTGCAGAGTGAGTTTTAGAACCGGTTAAGCGCTTTCAGATGACACTTACAGTTATAGCCAAATAAAAGCCGGCTAGAATTGGTTGGTGTCTGTGACTTATGTAAAATGTTTGGCTTAGTAAGCGAAAAGAATGCAGGAATTCCACAGGGCATATAAAATAGGCTAGAAACCGTTTAATCATCCAGAGAATTCACTATTCATTCAAAAATTGTGTTAATGTTATATATTATCAACACGTTTTGCCAACAATTTTTTGTGAAGAAAAAATCAGAAGTTCAAGTTCATAACATCTGAATAAAATATTGATTTTCTAATGTTTATCCCTTATGTATGCAAAATATGGAGTCTTGAAAAAAGTAATATTCATAACAATTCCAACAGCTGTTTCACAACAAACTTTTATCAGCCACAGAAAGTTGTTAAGGAACTGTAGTAAATCTTAAGTATCTATTCAGTTACTTAAGTCTGTTGATGTGTTATAAAAATCATTGATAATTCGAGTTTGAACAAAAGCCAGAGTTCAGCATCATTTCTTGCTTATGACTTTTGGCGAAGACGAAACAAAGGTCCATGAAATTGTGTCTTATCTACTTATTCAGTTAGTTGAGTTTGTTGACGTCTTATTCAAACAATTGACAATATGATAGAGTTCAAACAGAGGTTGCCCAAAACAAAATCTTGAGTTCATAAAGCTTACAAAAGCATGCAGTAAGATGGTCTATTAATAAATCTGAAAAGAGATTGTCCCATAATTTTGTCTTAAATCCAATCTGGAGATAGTTTCATCACCCGCCAGTTGACCTTTAATGGCATCAGCGCCACCATCTCCGTCGGGCATTAGCAACCAGATCTGCGAGCAAGGCGTTAACCCGGCGTGGGCACAGAGCCATGTCATCCGCATCTCCATTTCCATCACTTCAGCTCTCCATCGGCGTCATCATCCGCGGAGATGTCGCCAGTAGTTGTCGTCCCAACGATGAATGACAATTTGCAAATGGCTCTGGGTGCATAATTTATGCAGATGCAACAGCTGCAGCCGGAGCAACTGGAGCTGGAACTGCAAAACTGGCGGCATTTAGCGCGTTGACTATTAAGGCGAACTTGTAGTTGTTTGGGACACAGCTGGGGAGCCGCAGGCTGCCGCTTCGCCCATGCATATTCAAACGCCATAATCCCAACGGTATTTTAATGCTAAATGCTTACTCACTTCATGCTGCAGAGCCGTAGAGGTTGGCTAGAAAAACCCGTTTTTCCAGTAATGACCTTCGGTGTTGTTTTATTATCACTCCCGCTTCCGCTCCAGCTGCTCCTCCCGCTCCTCCGTCCCACTACTCCGTTCGGAGCAGTCTTGGAAATTCCGCTGAATCCCATAACAAAAGGCTGAGTTTATGTGGCCCAAGTTTACGTGGTTCTGTTTGTTAGCCTTTTCTTTTTCTCCACCTCCTTCTGGCGGCTTTAATTACCTTTTTTCGGGCTAACTCACAAATTCAACGTGTCTAAATAAGTGTGGATTTGCCAATTTCATTTAAGTTAGCGAACTGCCGCAGAATTTCTCTCACTAAATCCGTTTAGAATATCTACTCGGTGCACATTGACAGCTGCTGAGAAGGCTGAGAAGTTAATTAAAAGCCACTTTCGAATCAAAATCGATAAGCCATAATATGCTACATGCAATTTGCATTCAATGGCTGAAAGCAGAACAACAAGTGCTCCCAAGAGTGCGGTTAAGATTAGCTATGTGATTAGACCTAACAGTGGGTCTAAAAAAGCAAAACTAAAGAAATAGAAAAAACATTTTCCTTGAAAAAATTTAAAAACAAAAGTCAGTAAATATTTCCACGTATTTTGGGATCCACTATACTTAGAGCTGAGCAGATTAAATTGATTTAACAATTTTAATTTGCTGAGTTTACATTTGCATTTGTTCAGCTCGTGAGATGTTAGGATGATTAATTAAATTAATTTGTATATAAAGTGGTTGATAAAACCATTTAAATTAAAATAGTTTTTTTAAAAATGTCAAGAACTTTTAAATAGTTTATTATTGCCTAATAAAAATAAAATACTGCAAAACTGATCCCCATAATGATAGTTTTGCTAACTAAGCCGCTGTCCTCTCTTGTTAATAAATTCCCATTAGCCTTCTGCTCACCTTACCCTCGGGTGTCATTTTAATTGGTTTTTCTGCTCGCTAAATATGCTAATAAATATGGCCGCATATTCAGGTCTGATCTGTCGCATAGGCGGCCTTGCAGCGGTCAGCTTTTATCACACCATGTTAATTGACAATAGAATTGGATTTCCACTGTCTGCCAATCCCCCGAGAAAGAACGGACAAGTGCGCCGTAAAAGCCAGCCACTTGCCCAAGTTAACCTTGACGGAACAGTTCTCTTTTATCGTTATCCCCCCTCCCCCGCCACCGACGGGTTAACACGAGTGCTTAAGTGCATTTTAACTGGCTGCAACTTGTTCTGGCCAAGTCGAGACAGTCCAGGCCAAGCTAAGCCAAGCCAAACCCGGCCAAGACGAGGAGAATGACAATAAATATTTTGTAGCTTATTCAGCTCGATTACAGTGTTCAATGGAGGGTGTTCAGGGGTGTTCAGGGGTGTTCCGAAGGGGGGCGTCAAGTCGATACTTTGCCAGCGATTAAATGCCCCGAAATGCCAACAGTTTTTTTAAACCTCGAAAAGGGGGGCGGTGGGTGCTGGCCGTGCAGCTCGTAAAATATGAGCGCGACGTGCATTGAATTCGGGTCATTGCATGGCCAAATGCTGGGAAAGGGGGTCTTGGGGGTCCGAGAAACAACTGGCGCCTTAGCATTTTGTAATTCGATTTTGAGTTACGCCAAACGAAATTGGCTAATTTTGCATGCGCGCCCACCGGCCATTGAACTGCAGTCAGCATTCGTTGACAGCGGTCAACTTTTTATGTTTTCTTGCCGATTGCTTAACATATTAAATATCTCATGGCTCAATAAATAAATCAAATATATACAAACAAATTGTCCATTCAAAATGTAATGTAACAAGAAAGGAAAGCTAACTTCGGGCGGAGCCGAAGTTGATATACCCTTGCAGAATACTCTGTAAATTATATTCTCCAAAATTATTCATATGATGCATTCTTAATACTCATAAAAAATCCGAACTTCCTAACTTTAACAACAACAAAGTTATGGCATTTCCAATCGTTCAGTTATATGGCAGCTATAGGATATAGTCGGCCGATCCTTATGAAATTTGATAGGTCGGATTGATTGGCCAAACATAAAATCCATAGAAAATCCCAACTTCCTAACTTTACAAACACCAAAGTTATGGCATTTCCGATCAATCAGTTATATGGCAGCTATAGGATATAGTCGGCCGATCCTTATGAAATTTGGTGGGTCGGATTGATTGGCCAAATATAAAACCCATAGAAAATCCCAACTTTCTAACTTTACAAACACCAAAGTTATGGCATTTCCGATCAATCAGTTATATGGCAGCTATAGGATATAGTCGGCCGATCCTTATGAAATTTGGTAGGTCGGATTGATTGGCCAAATATAAAACCCATAGAAAATCCCAACTTTCTAACTTTACAAACACCAAAGTTATGGCATTTCCGATCAATCAGTTATATGGCAGCTATAGGATATAGTCGGCCGATCCCGGCCGTTCCGACTTATATACTGCGTGCAAAGGAAAGAAGGGTGTGTGCAAAGTTTCAATCCGATAGCTTTAAAACTGAGAGACTAGTTTGCGTAGAAACAGACAGACGGACAGACGGACAGACGGACAGACGGACATGGCTATATCAACTCAGGAGGTGATCCTGATCAAGAATATATATACTTTATAGGGTCGGAGATGTCTCCTTCACTGCGTTGCACACTTTTGACCAAAATTATAATACCCTCTGCAAGGGTATAATAAAATCTTGTTTTTATACCCTTGCAGAGGGTATTATAATTTCAGTCAAAAGTTTGCAACGCAGTGAAGGAGACATTTCCGACCCTATAAAGTATATATATTCTTGATCAGCATCACCAGGAGAGTCGATCTAGCCATGTCCGTCTGTCCGTCCGTCTGTCCGTCTGTCCGTCTGTCCGTCCGTCCGTCCGTTTCTACGCAAACTAGTCCCTCAGTTTTAAAGCTATCTGCTTGAAACTTTCCCAAAAGTTGTCTTTCTATTGCAGGTAGTATATAAGTCGGAACGAGCCGGATCGGGCGACTATATCATATAGCTGCCATATAACTGAACGATCGGAAAAGCCATAACTTTGGTGTTTTTAGTTAGGAAGTTGGGATTTTATATGGGTTTAATATTTGGCCAATCAATCCGACCTACCAAATTTCATAAGGATCGGCCACCTATATCCTATGGCTGCCATATAACTGTTTGATCGGAAATGCCATAACTTTGGTGTTTGTTAAGTTAGGAAGTTGGGATTTGCTATGGGTTTTATATTTGGCCAATCAATCCGACCTACCAAATTTCATAAGGATCGGCGGACTATATCCTATAGCTGCCATATAACTGAACGATTGGAAATGCCATAACTTTGGTGTTTTTTAAGTTAGGAAGTTGGGATTTTTTATGAGTATTAAAAATGCATCATATGAATAATTTTGGAGAATATAATTTACAGAGTATTCTGCAAGGGTATATTAACTTCGGCTCCGCCCGAAGTTAGCTTTCCTTTCTTGTTAAATTTGTAAGTTGAGAATTAATCGCAAGTTAATAGATATAATAAAGTCGTCTTACAATATTACTTTTTAAGGCTCTGTCATAATAATAGTTGTTAAATGTATAAAAATAATTTTTGAAAATTGCTAGAGTCAAGTATTCGTTTAATGAAGTGTTAAACTTATAGAGGTACTGGCACTATTATTCCCCTAAATTCTAGACTATTTCATGAATTATTTATTAATATTAAAATCTCATACTTATCTTGCAGATTGTAAATACCAACAATATAAACTGAGGAAGACCACGCGACAGGTGAAAAAGTTCAAGCAGGTAAGGGGAGACGAAAATCGAATTCACACAGAATGCAAAAATGCGTAACGCTAAATGTAACTTGGTAAGCTCGACTTGGCCATGTTTTCCATAATTTACACTTTCGTTGCCAGGGCAATTGGCATGCCAATTGAAGGTGCACTCTCATGCCACAAACAACACTGGTAATTCGAGGCGGCTAACAATGTGTTGTCAGGTGTGCAGAGGTGGGGTTGGGGATGGGGTTTGGGAAGAGCCACATCGACGGGTCCCAGGCTTTTCGAAGACCAGGAAGACGGCGACTGGAAATGGCATGCAGGAGATTGCAAATGCAACTGCAACTAGCAACCTGTCGAACAATGGCAAACAGGCGGCATAAACGGCAGCCAAAGTGTTCGAAGTGTTGCAATTGTTGGCAGCCGTGTCTTTAATTATCGGCCTTAATTGGCCGCTTATTAAGAGCCACCACGGCAATGTGTGTTAAATGACGCAGAAATTATGCGAATGCCAAATGCCAACGAACTCTTCTTCGCCCTGGGATTCAGAAAATCGCTTTCGCTGCGAAAACCTTTTTGTTTTCGGGCCAGCTTGAGAAACTTTCCATTGTGCTAGAAGCAAAGTTTCTTTCTGAGGCACACGTATATGTATCCTATATTCATTTAATGCCAAGATAAATCTAATTTCATACCAAATTTATTGTACAAACCGCCCATAAAGCGACAGTAGCAGAAGTTGAGGAAAAATACCACTCCATTGTTGATGAAGACGCTTCAGTTCGGTCAGACAGCGTTCAGTCAGCGGTCACAATTGAATAGATTTTCAGATTTACTTTTCCAGTTAGAAACAAAAAATGTGTGTAAAAAAACCCGCCAGCAGAAGAAAACGAAAACGAAGAAATAGCAGCTGCCGCCTGCATTCGACAGCGTTTAGTCTCAGAGATTTGCTTTCGAATGATGGCGAACAATAAAACTTTCCATTTCTAACAAAATTACACTCAAGACGAGACGAAAACAAAGCAAGACAAATTTGCCTAGTTATCTGATGTTGCCGCACTCATCGCCCCAATCCACGACATCCATCTGTCGGAGAATTTGTTTTCTGGAATTCGGTATATTTTTTTTGCCGAGACTCCCACTCGGGGACTTTGAATGAAAATCTTTGCAGCAACAAGCTCGTAAATGTTGCATGTCATACCACACAACTCCATTCCGTTCCCCAGGTGACATGTTGCACACGTGTGTGGCAACCAGCTCCCAGTTCCCAGTCCCTCTGCCCCATATAATACATAGTGTCGGATGTCTGATGCCCGCTGATTTGTGGCGTCGTTTATGTGGCGGAACTGTTTATTAATTAACGAGCGCGTTTTGGCTTTATTCTGTCGGCATTTCTGGCCTTCCAGTGGGTAGCAAACGATTAGGTGCTAAACTGTTGGCCCAGCTTATGTTAGTTGAGGTAAATGAGCCGCTGGCATGCAACGTTCTCAATCAGCTGCACCAGTGGCGACCTAATTTCTTAAAACTTGAGGTGATGAAAAGGGAGAAGAATACATTACATATTGCATAATGATCATGGAGAAAATAAATCAAGAATTTTCTTACTTAAATTTATAAAAAAGACTTAGAGTCTTTAGAAGCTTTACCAGCTAAAAATTGATTGGCAATAACTTAAATTAATATGCTTGCTTATATAATTTTAAGATATTTGAATATTTTTGTGTTTTTATTTTTCCAAAAAGTCTGCCTTATACTTTACGACTAGTTAACTAAAATAAAGCTATGCTGTTATTGATTTTAAAAATGTGAAAAAATAAGATTTTTTATCGCTTTATTGCCAACTTAAATTTGTATCTCTCTACAAAAATACCAAGTTGAAATTAAAAAAACAACTATATATATTCATTTAATATATGCGATCAATTTGCCTTCCTTTGAGCTTCAATGTTTTATTCAAATAAACAATTTGAAGTTGTAAAATTAAATATCAAGAAAAAAGTTATTTTTTTTAGTGTAACAAAGGCTGCTTCTGTCTAATGGCTGTTGCCTGTCAAAATGATAATGGGTTTTGGTAGAGCTGCCGCCGGATGGGGCACAGCGATAAGCCAGGCCAAGAGTCCGCTCGAATGCTTCAATTGAAACTGTCAATTGCAGTGGCCACACTCTCCCATCCCCACTCCCCCACTCCCCTGCAGCCCCTGCCTTTGGTTACCATTTTTGGTGTAGGCGAACCAGTGAAAGTTGTGGCCATGATCGGCCAAAGAGGTGGATACGCAGAGAAGGAGGGGCCACCTGGCTGAGGGGGTAATTAATGCCAATTAAATGTCAAACAAGAAAACAAATAATTTTACGCTGGGCGTGTCCCAATTCAATTCAATTTTGTTGACCAAACTTTCGAAAGGCTGCACTGATTAATTAAGCCAAGTTCAAAGCCCACCAGCCCAGCCGGTTCAATAGATTCAATTTCCCATGAGCCTGTTGTCCGCTGCACTTTCTACATCAAACAAAAGGAGGAAAGCGCTCCGTTTGCCCGGGGCTCTATTTGTGTATGTGGTAAGAGGTACGAAAAAAAAGGTTATTTATGATTATTTAATGCAATGCTTATGCTGCAGGTTCATTGCCCAAAGAAAAAAAGCGGCGAATGCAAATGCAAATTGATTTGCGCGTTTTGCCCTGCAGTTGAACTATGTCGCCCCCTTCCCTTCCTTTTCGACTCAACCCTTCCTCCGAGTTTGCTAATTGCTTGTCGCTGTCAACATGTTGCTGCTGCTCGTCGTTGCTTCTGCCTCTTCTTCCATTGAACTTTGAACTTGGCCAGGCGGCTGGCAGTGGTTTACTGACTTTCTTTTGTTGTTCATCGCGCCAGCCGGCGACAGTTGCAACTTGCAACGGCTAACGGCAGCAGCAACAAGAGCAATCATTGCAGCTGCCACTCATGTGGCATGTCTGTATTTGTGAGTGTATTTGTGCCAAAGTTCCATGTCTTTTGTCTCCGGCCATTGTTTGGCCTTGCAACAGTGCGTATACGTAATATGCGCGAGCCTTTGTTTGCCAAACGTTGCGTGCAATTTGTGTCCAATATCCAGTAGATGCCATTACACTCTGGCACACTGCTAGCAAGATGAATTCCCCTGTCATTTGCCGAGAATTTCGGGCTTACACATAAGACATATGTTACAGTTACGTAACCGGTGGTAGTCTTTGTGAAATATTTTTTAGTACTTTTCACCTCATCTAGTTAACACAATCAAAAGTTTTAATTTAAACTGCAAATTTGCAACGCTATATAGATGTTCGGCGACAATAATAATTCAAACCCCTTTTTTTTCCTTCCAAGTGGTTGGTTGTAAAACATAAGCTTTTCATTAAAACACGATTATAATAATTTGTATACCTTTTCCCCACATACTGCGTAAATCGAGCACCTTTTCCAACACCCAAATTAAGTTTGTATTTAAAGAGACCATTTTTTGATTAGCTGTCACTAGAATATTCAGTCAAGGCTTATTAATCAGTCAATAATAGGTTTCATTGAAAGTAAAAAGAGCTTACTGAGAGGAAGGAGTTTCTAAATGCTAAAAATAATCCTAAAGTTTTCGTCGATCGCAACACCTATTAGATATCCCAAAAATGTTTTATGCTTTATCGGCACAGCCAAAAAACCCAAGTTCTGTCAGAAAGGCTCGTCTTCCATTGCGAGCCTGCAACACAGCCCATTGCCATGTACCACCCGATGTGGGCAAAACGAAGACGAAGTGTTACCAGATTGTCACAGTTCCTTACTTAATTCCAAAACCACAAGTCGTTGGAAAGACATCGACTTCTCAAGTTTGGGAAACCAATCCTAGAGTTACACCCTCGGCAGCGCCTTCTTCAGAAACAATTTCTTCTGCCCATTTGCAAGTGAAATCTTTGTAGCAGCTGACGGCGGACATTCTCCCCCTCAACGCAGAGTGTCCCATTTACAGGAGATTACTAGCCTTTAGGTCAACCACTTTTGTTTGTGGATCAAATATATATATAAATAGTGTCAAGTCAAATAAATGATGTAGTTTCACAAGTTTATTTTTTCGGAATATAAAAACAGTCGTAATCATATTATAATCAAGACATTGTTTGATTTAGATTGGCCTGAAAATAAATAATAATAACAAATAAATAATAATAACAAAATAAATAATAACAAGAAAGGAAAGCTAACTTCGGGCGGAGCCGAAGTTGATATACCCTTGCAGAATACTCTGTAAATTATATTCTCCAAAATTATTCATATGATGCATTCTTAATACTCATAAAAAATCCCAACTTCCTAACTTTAAAAACACCAAAGTTATGGCATTTCCAATCGTTCAGTTATATGGCAGCTATAGGATATAGTCGGCCGATCCATATGGAATTTGGTAGGTCGGATTAATTGGCCAAAAATAAAACCCATAGGAAATCCCAACTTTCTAACTTTACAAACACCAAAGTTATGGCATTTCCGATCAATCAGTTATATGGCAGCTTTAGAATATAGTCGGCCGATCCTTATAAAATTTGGTAGGTCGGATTGATTGGCCAAATATAAAACCCATAGGAAATCCCAGCTTCCTAACTTTACAAACACCAAAGTTATGGCATTTTCGATCAATCAGTTATATGGCAGCTATAGGATATAGTCGGCCGATCCTTATGAAATTTGGTAGGTCGGATTGATTGGCCAAATATAAAACCCATAGTAAGTCACAGCTTCCTAACTTTAAAAACACCAAAGTTATGGCATTTCCGATCAATCAGTTATATGGCAGCTATAGGATATAGTCGGCCGATCCCGGCCGTTCCGACATATATACTGCGTGCAAAGGAAAAAAGGGTGTGTGCAAAGTTTGAATTCGATATCTTTAAAACTGAGGGACTAGTTTGCGTAGAAACAGACAGACGGACAGACGGACAGACAGACGGACAGACGGACAGACGGACATGGCTATATCAACTCAGGAGGTGATCCTGATCAAGAATATATATACTTTATAGGGTCGGAGATGT